AGTAGTAGTATTAGTAGCCGTAGTCGTAGTCGTAGTATAGTAATAGTAGTAGTAGTAGCAGCAGCAGTAGTAGTAGTAGTAGTCGTAGTAGTAGTAGTAGTAGTAGTAGTAGTAGTAGTAGTAGTAGTAGTAGTAGTAGTAGTAGTAGTAGTAGTAGTAGTTAGTAGTAGTAGTAGTAGTAGTAGTAGTAGTAGTAGTAGTAGTAGTAGTAGTAGTAGTAGTAGTAGTAGTAGTAGTAGTAGTAGTAGTAGTAGTAGTGTAGTAGTAGTAGTAGTAGTAGTAGTAGTAGTAGTAGTAGTAGTAGTAGTAGTAGTAGTAGTAGTAGTAGTAGTAGTAGTAGTAGTAAAAGTAGTCGTCGCAGTAGCAGTCGTACTTTTTGTTGTAGTCGTAGTCGTCACATTGGGTGTTTCTGAGCGTTTTTGAGCCGTCCGTGGGTCCTCTTGCACTGTCTCGGGTGCCTCTTGAGGCATTTTTGGGCCCTTGTGCCGTCTTAGGAAGAGGTGGGGGCTGGAGGAGGGATGAGGAGGGAGGAGGCGGAGGAGGCGGATGAGGAGGAGGAGGAGGAGTAGGAGGAGGAAGCGAGAGAAGGAGGATGAGGGGGGATGAGGGAGGATGAGGATGTGATAGGAGGATGTGGAGGAGTACGAAGAGGATGTCTGCCCCCTTGCGAGCCCCTGTTTAAGCGCATCTGCGCGTCCCGGCTTCACGGCACGCGAGGGGGGGAGTTCCCTCTTATCTCAGCTTCTGGCCAAGGGCATCCTCGCAGCCTCGAGCGCCATCTCCGCCAGCGAGTTCCTGAAGGGGGATGATGATGATGATGCTGATGATGATGATGATGATGATGATGATGATGATTAGCATGATGATGCTGATGATGATAATGTTGATGCTGATGCTGATGATGATGATGATGATGATGATGATGATGATGATGATGATGATGATGATGGTGATGGCAATGATGATTGAGGGTGGTGAAGGATGATGATGATGATGAGGGGCATTACAGATGATGGCTGGGATGATTATGTTTATGATGGTATTGATGATGAGGATTTTGAGGATGCTGATGATGATGATGATGATGTTGATACTGTTGATGCTGTTGATAAGGTTGATGGTCAATTCGGTTGTGGTGACGACGACGAGCACGTCGGCGATTATGATGATGCTGATGATGATGTTGATTATGATATTGATGATAACGATGATGGTGATGATGATGCTGATGACGAGGATGCTGATGATGATGATGATGATGATGTTGATGATGGTGATGATGCTGCTGATGATGGTGGTGATGATGATGGTGATGGTGTTGGTGGTTGTGATGCTGATGATGATGCTGATGATGGTGATTGTGGTGGTGGTGGCGGTGGTGTTGATAAGGATGATTGTGCTGACGGTGGTGATGCTGCTGATGATGACGATGCTGACGATGTTGATGATGATAGTGATGATGCTATTGATGATGGCGCTCATACTGATGGTGATGATGTGGTGGTAGCTACAGTGGTGATGATGATAAAGATGACGATGATGATGCCGATGCTGATGATGCTGATGATGCTGATGATGCTGATGATGCTGATGATGCTGATGATGCTGATGATGCTGATGATGATGCTGATGATGCTGATGCTGATGCTTGTGGTGATGGTGATGGTGATGGTGGTTCTGGTTGTGATGATGACGCTGATTTTGCTGATGGTGGTGATGATGGTGGTGTTGGCGATGCTGGTGATGGTGTTGATTGTGGGTGTGGTTGTGGTGACGGTGATAGTGGTTGTAATGATGATGACGACGGTGATGAGGAGGAGAACCACAGGGTCGCCGACCCAGCGGGGACAGCTTGACTTGAAGTCGTCCATACATCGCCGTTACATTGGCGATCGCCCCCCGATGGCGAAGCCGAACGTTCAAGGCGAGGTGGTGCTGTCGTACCCCCCACCAAGATCCTGAGACACATCCTTCTGATGGTCATGCCCTTTTTGTGGCGCGTTTTGGACGGCCCTTCGCCCCTTGATATGAATGTCCCCCCCTTTGAGCCAGTCCTCCCTTTTCGTTTTCCCTTCGAGGAGGAGGATCGAGCTTCGATGATCGAGGATCGAGGCGGATGAGGAAGTGGAGGTGGGAGTATAAGGAGGATGAGGAGGGGGGGTTCTTGGTTACGCCCTCCCCCCGTCGGAGACCGAATGATCGCCTCTTGGGTCCCTCTTGGGGCGCTCTTAAGCGCCTTTGGGGCTGTCCTGGAGCCCTTATACTCCCCTCGTGAGGCTCTCTTGGGCCATCTTCGGGCCGTCCTGGGATCTCAAAAGCCAGTGGGAAGCGAAACACGAGATATCACACTCATGAGTTTTCCATGGTTTTGTGTGGATTTCGGCCGCTCGGGGGCGTCTCTAGGAGCCTTCGTGCCCACTTTGAGCCATATTGCGGTTTGGGCCTCTGAGAGGCATGTCGGAGGCTTTCCTGGAGCCATTTTGGACCATTCTGCACCACCTGGTCCCGTTGGACCGGCGTGTTCATCACAGGTAGTTTTTGTTGTTCGTTTTTTGTTGTTGTCTTGTTCTCTCTTTCTGTCTCTCTCTCTCTCTCTTTCTCTCCCCTCTCACATTATCCCCCCCTCCTTTTTCCCCACATCCCTCCTGAGGAACGTGGGGAGGGTGGGGGGGTAAGGAGGAATGTATTCCCTCTGCCTCCTCCCCCTCCTCGGCGAATGGTTGTGGATGGACATTTCTCCCCCTCATCTGGCTACGGGCCTTCCCCAGCCTCGATTTGACCAGGGCTGTACGGTGTACAACATCCCGACCTCGGCTCCCCTCAAGCGAGTGCATGGTGGTTGGAGGTTGAGGAGCGTATGGCGCGCTGGTACTCTGGGCACGTGTAACCAGACACGTAGCGCAACGTCGAGCTTACCCCTCCTCTGCTCCACTTCGCCCCCGCGTCGTCTTCGTCCTCATCATCGTCCTCATCCCCGTTCTGACTATGCAGTGTCTTCGGGCAGGCATGTGCCAGGTGATGTTTCAGCTGCGTGCGAGAACCACCGCGAGCCAGCGGGGCCAGCGCCCGACCACAGGGAGCCTTCCGGATGAGGGCCCCAGAGGGCCTCGACAGCTCCCCCCGACGCGGCATAGCGAGGACCCGAGGACCCCTGCTTGTCCTGCTTATCCTCCACTACCAGGAGGGGAAAGAACACACAGACAAAATGAAGCGTCGATTCCCAGGAAAACATAAGAAACTATGGGAAATGGGGGTAAGACGAACACCTAGAAAATATGGGGAAATATGGGGGATCTGGTTATTCGTGTCTATTTATGCAATCGCTTCGCTCATTCCGCCGGCCCATGTTGCATGATCGCTACTGCTTCGCCGTGGGCCCGGGGCCATTGTGGCACCGCCGAGGAGGAGGAGGAGGAGGAAGATGAGGATGGGGAAGGGGAGGGGAGGAGGAGGAGAGGATGGTAAGGAGAGGAGGAGGATGAAGATAAGGAGGAGGAGGAGAAGGAGGAGGAGGAGGAGGAGGAGGCGGAGGAGGAGGAGGAGGAAGGGGAAGGGGAAGGGGCGGAGGAGGAAGCCTGTCGTTGGCATCTTGTGTTGCTCTTGGGGCCAAACAGGATCGTCGTCAAGATGCTTCTTTGGGAGGCCTCTTGGGGTCTTTTGAGAAGCCGTTCGGGGGCGCCTGGGAGGCATTTTTGAACTTCTGGGGCCTGGTGTCCTGGGGTACTTTCCGTCCTGGGACCCCCAGGGGCGGCCCCGCGCGCGCGAACAAGAATATTGTTAACCAGTTGCCGGAGATCTTGGCACGCCCTTGGCCCGTTGGGCCGGCGAGTTTGTGTGTCCCATGGCCCCTTCACACTCTGCCTCTCTCAGGAGAGGAAAAAACACGCAGACACAATTAATCGTCGATTCCCAGGAAAATATGGGAAAATATGGGAAGTGGGGGGGAAGACAGAAACCCAGAAAATGTAGGAAAGTATGGGGAATCCTTTTATTTGTGTGTCCTGGGGCCCGACGGGGCTTCGCCTTGGGGTCTTTTGTTCAATGGGGGTCAATGGGAAGGGGTTTGCGTTGTTACGCAAAGCCCTTCCCAGCACAATCCGTGAAACCGCAACGCAGAAAGCTGAAGCTCCAGCTTATCGTGTAGCTTCACGTTCAAGTCGTGTGTGCTTACGCCGCTTTCGACAACTCAGTGCCATGCTTTCCGCGTGTGCTTGCCCACGCGGCCGCGCGAGCTTTACCGCATCGCTTCGCAGCCCCGTCGACGAAAGCGGTTGCCCATCTTGCACACGTACCCCTCCCTGCGGTGGCAGCCATTCCAACAGCCCGGTCGCCCCTGGCTGCGGGGGCCCGCGCATCCCAGTGCCCTGAGGAGCCGTATGCCGCTCCGCGCGGCCCCGCTGCTTCGGCTCTCTACGCCGGTCGCGGCGTGGCCGTGGCCCTGGCGCCGGGCGGGTGGTGCGAGGGCTCGCCAGAGGCCCCGCCGGAGCCTCTGGGAGAATTCGGGGAACGAACAAGGACATGGATGTAAAAACTCGGAGGTCCGCGCGGATTTCGCGGATCGGCGCTGGAGCCCGCTGGCGGCGCCTCCGGCGTCGCCTCTGGCGCGCTCCGCGCGCAAAGGAGGCGGATCCAACGCCGATCCGAGAAACCCGCGCGGACCTCCGAGTTTTTATGTTCATGTCCTCGTTTGTTTCCCTAGAGAAGGCCAGCTTGTGGCATCATGGCAGCAGCCACGCGTGACAGCGGAGGGTTGCGCTGAGCATCCTTTCTGCGTCCGCTTGCGATCACTGCCCCTGCGGGTCCCATCGGTTCCGGGATGTCGGACACCCCAGCTGGCTGTGATTTTTGACCACAGGCATCTTTCAGATCTTGCACCCCAGCCGTGGATCGAAAAAAACCAACAGGGGTAAGGGGCAAGGTTCACGTGTGGCTGCCTACCTCCTGACCCCGTTGTCTGTCCCCGCCCGTCCTCACTTTCTCCAGCCCCCCGGAGTAAGATCCTCCTCGCAAGCCAGTCTTTGTCGTCGCCTTCTGCCAGAGTTCTCGCTGTTTGTATCCCTCGCGGGGGGACTGCTCGGTGAGCAGCGGCCGCGCAGTCCTGGAAGGATTAGCGCCTGGTGCGCCAGCGGACTGCTCCGCTCGATTTTGCCTCGCCAGATGAAGCAACTCCGCTGACATTGCGATCACTGGCCGGTCAAGTCTGGGCCTGCGCGGGCAGAACGAGGTTCATGTCGACCCCCATGGCCGCCACGAGCGTTACACCACCCTTCTCGCCCCTCTCGTCTTCCTCCTCCTCCTGCTTCTCCTCCCCCTCCCCCCCCTCCCCCTTCTACCTCCGACCTCCTTGCCCCTCCTCCCCTTCCTCCCTCTCCTTCGTCCTCTCCCCTCCCCGCCAACTCCAGCCGTATAGGCCCCAGAGCCCAGACCCTCGAGGGTCTCTTAGATGTTCCAGCTTACTTCAGCTTGTGATTATATGTTCCAGCTTACTTTCGCCTTGACTACCAGACATAATTTCGAGCACCAGAAAAAAGGTACCGAAACTCGAAGGTTTTCGCGCGTCGGGCCCTGGGAGGCACTTTTTCGACACTCTTTCGACACTCTTTCGACACTTTCTGGGTGCTCGAAATTATTTCTGGGATCTGGTCCTCGAGTACGATGGGCGCAACATAATCCTTGGTGGCCGAAAAGGTGATAGAAAGAAATCGTTCAGCACCGATGCTAATATAAAGTGCCCATGCCTCACGTAGAGTCTCGTGGCGAGGCAGCGCAGCGTTCAAGAGTGCTGCACATCGGAGGTCTGCATGGTGCCGTTCAGAGGATCCCAGTCCTCGATCATTCTCCTCGCTGAAGACTGCAAAGGGACCCAGGGACACCCACTCGAAGAGCAACACATTGCATCAATACATTTCCTGAGGTCCGCGCGTGCTTCCTGGGGCGGCGCTGGACCCCCTCTGGCAGCCCTCCGTGCGCCAGGGAACGGGGGGGTCCAGCGACGGGCGACCCAAGAACTCGTGCGGAACTCCGAAAGTCTATGTGCTATGCCGCTTGTTGTTCCTAAACTGGGCCTCCAAGAGGGGGTCCGAGCAGATGAGGTCGGAGGATCGCGCCGCACCGCCGATGCGTCGCCGATGCGTCGCCGATGTTGCCCGACGTGGAGCCCGATCTTCTCCGCGCCGACGCCGCCGACGCATCGCCGACGTCGCCGGTGCATCGTCGAGGCAGCGTCGAGGCGCGTGCGCGGTCGGCACGGCGGTGTCTGTCTGGAGGGGCGGCTGCGCCTCTCGAGGCAGGGCGTTGTGCAGGTGGTCGTCTTTGTATGCCTTGGTTTGCCGATCGGCGCGGGCCCTCGCACCCCCCCCTCCCCCCCCTCCCCCATCCCGTGGATCAAGCAGCGGCGAAGCGTCCTGGCTCGCCTATAGCCCTACCATGCAATGTTCTAAGAACCTTTTGTGGTTTCCTCGAAATGTTCTTAGAGCATTTCTGGCGGAGTCTGTCTTGTTTTATCACATCGGGTTTATGTTCTAAGAACCTTGTTTTTGTTCTTAGAACATTTTTGGGTTCTAAGAACATTCCGTGGTATGACTATAGGAATGCCGGGACGGTCGGTCCCTGCTCAAGTGGAGTGGATATTGGCTGTTTTCTGGCGCCCGTTTCGAGCAGGTGGGGCCCCTCCCCCACAGGAAACACTGCTGCAAGCAGTCGCGCTAAGCAGAGATCCGGAGCCAAACCCCCCACCTTCCCCCCCCTTTCCCCCAATACAGTCGGCCCACATTAGTAGGTCGACCCTGCCAAATCAAGGGTACCCTTGTGTTCTGTGTCTCGCGACCCATGTTTCCTACATCCCTGTGGCAATGTGGCCCTCGGAAGGGTCTTGTGTCCTCTCGCGCGTCCTGTCCAATCGAATCCGACTGTATCGAAACGCCGAACATGAGAACGTTCCGCAGCCTCGCGCACCGGGCAGCGTCCTCTCGCGGGCCTGGCGGTGGGAGGTCCTGGCCTTGGCCGGCCAGGCGCCCTCGTGACAGTGCCTTCGCTGACCTCAGTGCGCCTGTATCTGCGGTGAGCCCAGGGGGGGGGAAGGTCGGAGGAGGAGAAGATGCCCCCAGACATGCTCGCGTCGTCATAAAAATCAGGACGGGCGGTTTTGGCCACTTTTCGGCCAGGCCTCGGGACCCTCAAACAACGATTCAGGATGAAAAACCGGTCCTGAGGAAAGGTTCGGGATTTCGAGGGACCACGTATTGAAAAAATCAGGACGTCGCATGTCTGGGGAAGGTACCCATACCTCTACCCTTCTCTCGTTTTCCCTTTTTTTGGCTTCCTGTGAGGCCCTCGTCGCCACCGCTATATTCGCCTCGAAATTCTGGTCAGAGTGCACCCCAGGAGAGGTCCGGGTGGTATCGGTATCGGTACCTGATGGTTTCCCCAGAAGGTTCGGCGACTGCAGAGGGTGCTGTTACGCCGGGGTGTGGCCTGCGATCTGCTTTGTTGGGGCTCGGGGGGCACCACGCGGTCCTCGTCGGGCCTCCTCGGGGCGCGGCGGAGAATCCTGTCGAGGTTCTTGCCAGCCCCGCAGGGTGCGCGTGGCAAGCGACACCCTGTGCAAACCGCACCCTTCGGAGTCGCCGAGACGGTGGCGGGCCTCCTCAAGAGGCTTGGAAGGCCTCTGGCCTTCTGGGGAGTTCTCCATGCCATCTCCGAAGAGACAGATGGCTTCTCAGAAGCTTTGAGGGCTTCTGAGAAGCCCCGCAGTCTTCGAGAAGACCTGCTCCCTCTCACCCCCCCCGTTGGCGCCGCCGACTTGTGTGCCTCACAGCGTTTTTTTGTTTGTTTGTAGCAGTGAGGTCCAGCAGTGGGCGTCGTAGCGGAGCTGATCAGGCTGAAGGTCAGGGGGAGCAAGGCGCGGGGGGATGAGCAGAAGGGAGGCAGCTGGGGTGCGACAAGGAGTACGAGTAGGAGCGTGAGCAGGAGGCAGGCTCAGCAGCTCTAGGCCTCCCAGATGTGGCCCCAGTAGATGGGGTCGGAGGATCGCGTCGCATCGCCGATGCATCTCCGGTGCATCGCCGATGCATCGCCGATGCGGCTCGCTGCGGAGCCCGATGTTCTCCACGCCGACGGCGCCGCTGGACCCCGACGTCGCCGAGGCATCGGCGATGCAGCGCGATCCGCCGACCCCGCCTGCTCGGAGCCCATCGGCGAGGCCTCGGGCAGCTCGGGCGAGTCCGCGGGGCCGGCCACTCCCGCCCGGCCTCATCCCCCCCCCGCCGAGGGCACGAGGGTCAGGGCTGGCACGAGAGGCAGCACTCGTGCGGGCGCGCGCTGCCGCTCCGCGGACGGAGGGCGCTCGCGCGCGCCCGCCGCCGACGACGTGGGAGGGACGAGGAGGGGTGGGGGGGGGGATTACAGGAGGAGGGCTGAGGTGAGAAGGGGCGGGCCTTCTCTCTCAGTCAGTCAGTCAGTGGGCCGTGCATCCTGAGGACGCGTAGGCAGAAGAGCACATAAAAAGTTAGGGTGGTGCGCCAAGAGCGTCCCACATGCAGTCAAGAGCAGCCCGCCAAACGCGAGGGTGGTCCCCCAGCTTTCCGAGGAGCTCGCTGAGCCTCCGCCGGAGGCGCAGAGCACCTCTCAGAAGGCGCGGGGTCTTCCGGGAGGTCCCGCCACCTTCTGAGAAGGCCTTCGCCTTCTCACTTCCCCCCCTCGCTCGCCGCCGAAATCTGGGATCTAGAACGAGAGCACCATCTCGCTCGCGGACCGACTTGCGATATGATGGGCGGTAGCAAAACATTCCGCTTCGCCCAAGCGAAGCGCAGTTTTGAGGAACAACTTGTGTGGCGCTTGAGCGAGCTGGGTATTTCGTTTCCTGGAGCGCGCAACGGATTTTCACGATTTGGTGAAGAACGGCGACGCGCGCGACGCGGGAACTCAATTTGAGGAAAAAGTTAGCAGGGCGCTGAGGCGATGCGCTCCGCGCCCCATTCTTCCCATACGACACAACGTCCATTCAGGCAGGATGCGGGCTCTTTCTTTTGTGGACAGCCTCAGGCCAGCTAAATGATGGGTAGGCAGGTGGGTGGGAGTACATACCAGTGGCACAGGTGGGGTAAGGGTCAAGACAGCCGCTTCGAGCGGGTCAGCGGGGCCCGCCTCTTCCTTCCCTTCCTCCCACGACATACGGTGGAAGCCCATGCCAAAAACACCCTGCCTCCCGGGTGCCCTGGTTTTTTTTGGGTTTCCATGGTGCTACGATGGAAAGCGTGGCGTCCTGGGGTTCCAGGGCTGAGCTTCTTGTGTAAGGTTTCTTGTTGTCGAGCTCCTGCATGTACCCCCCCCCCTCCCTCCTACAGCATGCGACACAATGCGGGCACAAGTGAACCCGCTGGTTCTCGCGCGCTTCCGCCTCTTGGCCGGCGGAGAGCGCTCGCGCGCGCGCGGCCCCACTTCCGACGGCCCGGCACTGGAAAAAGGCGGGCCGCGAGGAGGAGGAGGAGGAGGAGCGTGGAGGAGGAGGATGAGGAGGAGGAAGAGGGGGAGGAAGAGGAGGAGGAGGAGGAGGAGGAGGAGGAGGAGGAGGACGAGGAGGAAGAAGAGCGCCACAGCTCTTGCTTAGGTCGGCCCAACGTCAGGAGTGGATGAGGAGGAGGAATATAAATCATCAGAATGTACTAATAACCACGTAGTAAGCATACAATTGATAGCATAACACGGATGCGCATAATAACAAGACGAATGCGAACACTAAAACAACAAAAAGAAGACGAC